GCGAGGTCAAAAAGCGCTTCGGTATTGGGTCCACAAGGCTGTACGAGCTATGGCAAGAGCCTGATGTAGAACCATCGACCCTCTTGCCCGCCGGCGATATAGCTCCGCCTACCATCCAGGACTTCTACGATTGTCTGGGGAGGCTCGAATCTCATGTGGAGCAAAACGTGACGATGTTGCCAGCTCGTGTGGAGCAAAACGCGACGATGTTGTCGGCTTGTGCGGACCAAAACACGAATTTAATAGTCAACATCTTGTCTAGGCTGGACAAGGACGATGACGAGGAAATAGAGGAGGAAAAAGAAAAGATGCTAGAATTGGCCCAAAAGTGGACCTACATTTTGATCGTCGCCTTGTTTCTCAGAAAGGTCGTCCACAAGACCTGGAAACACTGCACACGGGCCGACAGACCAGTCGACAGACAGGCCGACAAGACGAAGACAGAACACCCAAACCAGTTTCCACGGTCCCTTTCAGGCACCCCTTCCACATGGAGTAGAACTATATAGTTTGCTGGTTGAAAAATGGATTTGTGGTTGCTGAAAAAATGGGTTACCCTACCGAAAATGTGATTCTTATCAGGCCAGCGCTGTACCAACACACTGTCGGGACCGGCTGTCAGTCCCTATGCGAATTTAACGGGCCCAGGCTGGCAACCTAGTCGGTATATCGAACGATGTCTCACGCTCGAAAGTGACTATTTTTTACTGGACACTGGGAGAGGAAGTAAGCCAAAATAAGCTCATAGGGTACCCTGTAATAGAACTAACACTACTAAGGTGTATTGAAAGAGGGATGACTTCAACTTTCCCTTCAGGTTGAGCAATAGTCCAGTAATACTGGCAAAAGGGGTAGAACAAATTGCAATATAAACAATTTTTGCTGAAACATGTATGTAAGTTGTGTACTTTTTACATATCAAAAGTACAGAAAAGTATCACGAACGATTTTGTTCGAAAAAGTTAATTTTTTCATAAATGCAAAAAACGCGTACATCTGATACAGTCAAACAGGTGGCCGCTGTTACTAGCTGTGTTTCCGTAGATTGCATCATGTAAACAAGATGGCCGATCAGGTTTCGCCTATATTGGTGAAACATCCAGACCAGTCACCATTAGGATCAAAGAATACCAGGCTTTAGTAAGAAACAGACACTCCAAATCCGCCATAACCGACCACCTTAAAACCAACCCAAACCACAACATCAGTTGGAACACCACCAAAGTCATCGAAAGGAACCAGCCCGATTTCAAAACCCGAAAACTACTTCAAGCTGTCCACATAAAGAGGATTTGCCCAGCCATCAACAGAGATGAAGGATATTTCATCCCCAAGGCCAATCATCACTTCCTCAATTAACTTCATGTAACCCTACTCAACTATCGTACATTATCCATTGTGTAACACTGTACATTATCCATTGTGTAACACTGTACATTATCCATTGTGTAACACTGTAAATTATCCATTGTGTAGCACTGTACATTATCCATTGTGTAAATTTCACTTCACCACTGGCTGCCTATCAACATCTTTAATCTCTTATGTATACAAGTATGTACAAGTTCTTTACTGGTTTCCTATCAACCTTCTTAATCCTGTGTTATCAACCTATTCTATTGTATAAACAACTCATTTTCGCCTCATCCCCCATCTATTGTACAAACATCTCATGTATATATATCACCCAAAATACTTCCCATGTACCACTTGCTTGACAACGTCATTAGAATCTATGTCGAAACGTCGCCTATATAGAATAAAGAAGTTGTACATCCATAAAAATACCCCCCATTCTTCATCGACCCAACTTCTAGAATGCCAATCAAAGATGGTTACAATGATCAACTCCTCAGTAAAACTTTCAAAATGTTTTAGGTAGGCTTGGATGTCATTTTCAAATTTGACACATCAGTGACAAAATTTACGTCTAATGCAATACTTTATTCTTTACAATGTTTTTAGAGCTTAACAAATTACCATTCTTTACATATGTTTATGACAGGTGGGTACTTAGACCTTTTCGCAAACACCTGGTATAATAATAATAATAATAATAACAATAATAGTGGATACTTGTAAAGCGCCAGTGTCCACCCACTGATGCATGCAGAAGAAGGGAAAATGTCATTATAGGCTTTAGTAAAAAGGAATGTCTTTAGGACCTTCTTAAGAGAGTCCAGGGTCGGGGCGAGTTTGATTTGGAGCGGTAGAGAGTTCCATAAAAGAGGCGCGACATGCTGAAAACCTGTCTTTCCAAAAGAGGTGAGCCGAGCTTGAGGTACTGTTTATCCTGGGAACGTCGAGTTCTGGAAGGCACATACTGAGTTAGGAGAGATGAGAGATATGTAGGGGCAAGGTTGTTGAGACACTTAAAGACTGTACACAGAACTTTGAAGTCAACTCGGTATTGAACAGGAAGCCAGTGCAAAGACTTTATCACAGGGGTTATATGATCATATTTAGAACTCAAAGATATAATTCTAGTGGCTGTATTCTACACTTTCTGGAGTTTTTTCATGTGTTCTTTGGATATTCCAGTGAGAAAGCTATTGCAGTAGTCTAGGTGGGAAGACACAAGACATCTGACCAGGATATGTGCACTGTCTTTAGTGATGTATTTTGGATTGTACCAATGGAACGAATGTGAAAGTAGCATGTCTTACACAGATGATCCACTTGTGCAGACATGAAAAGGCCCGACTGTAGCTGTACTCCAAGATCTTTAACTTGTCTTGGGGAGATACAGGCAGAAGCAATCATCACTCGCTCAACATCTACCTTGTCGATGTGCTGTTGTCTTCCGACCAATAATACCTCTGTTTTGTCATCATTTAACTTTAGTTTTCTTTCGGTCATCCATGACTTAATTTCAGAAGTACAGTTTTCAATTTGTTGTAGGGTGTCATACATTGATTCAGTGTTAAATCTATTCATCAGTTGAACATCATCTGCATATGAAAAATGAGGAGTCCCAAACTTGTCAGTTATGGTTTTGAGACAGTTTAAGAGAAACAACACAGGTCCCAACACTGAACCTTGTGGGACTCCACACAAGAGCACTGTCTTATCCGAAAACTGTCCCAAGACATAAACAGACTGCCGCCTGACATAGAGATAAGATGCAAACAAAGAGAGCACTGTTCCACTGATACCAACTTGATGCTGTAAAATATCCAGAAGCTTGGAATGATCAACTGTATCAAACACTGCACTGAGATCTAAAAGTGTCAGCGTTGCCATGTCACCAGAATCCACTAGACACCTGAGATCATTAACAACTCTCAGGAGCAAGGTCACTGTTGAATGCTGCGGACGAAAAGCAGACTGATAGTCATCAAGGATGTCATGGAGGTTGATATGCTTCATCAGTTGTCTGGTAACAGCTTTCTCCACAAGTTTTAAAAGAAAAGTCAAGTTTGAAACGGGCCGATAGTTCTTGAGTATGTTGGTATCAAGTTTGGAATTCTTTAACAGTGGAGTAACAATAGCACTTTTCAAACATGTATCCCATTAATGTCAGTCTGAATCATTATTATCCCCCTCCACAAGGTGGGCAGAGGATATTGGTTCAAGCTCCATCTATCCATCCATCAAAGATGGTGGGGATAGATTTTCTCAAAAAACGTTACACATAGGCCTAAAAGTCATCCCATCAAATATATTCTTTCTACCTGGTGTTTATCTCGACACACACAGGGGAAGAATGGCATATGCAGTTGCATGTCTTGTAAAGGATAGGTATTTCCTGACAACTATTAAATACCTGTGCAAAGAAGAGTATGTTTATGAAAAATGAAATTTTACAGAAAGGTTAAACAGGAATCTAAGGCAATGATGTAACAGACATGGGGTATTTGAAAGACTTTGAAATTATACAATTTTTTCTGATACCATTTACTGTCAGGAAAGAGAATGTACACACTTGCATTATTTGTGAGTGAAAATGTATGCAAATATAGCAGAGAAAATATATAAGGTCTTTGTATGCATCAAGTCATGTCATGTTGACCATCTAATTTCATACAAGAAGACAAAGTCATCAATATCCCCCGCAATGGCAAAATGCTCTTCATTAATATGTCTACAAGTTATGATTATGTCAAATGTTTGGTGTGTATATAGGAAAGTGGAAGGAGAGTATTGAAAGGTTTTTAAAGTTCTGCTCCAGAAAGGAGCACTACCACCAATTTCAGTCTAAGTCAAACTTGTTGCCATGGAAACGCCAAAAATAATTCATTCAGAAATCCAAAACTACCAAAAGGCACTAGTACACCACCAGACCAATCTATGTGCCACGTTTGGTGAAGAAACATGGAACGGTTTTAGAGTTCTGCTCTGGAAAAGAGCACTACCACCAATTTCAGTCTAAGTCAAACTTGTTGCCATGGAAACACCCAAAAATATTTAATTCAGAATACCAAAACTACCAAAACGCACCAGTACACCACCAGATCTATCCATGTGCCAAGTTTGGTGAAGAAATATTGAACGGTTTAAAAGTTCTGCTCCGGAAAAAACAATGTGCACGGACAGACAGAGTCCATTTAATACCCCATCCCACCCACCCCTCAAAACACGTTGCTGGTGATAACGAGTCAGCAGATGGTTTATCTGTTATGAACTAACAACTGTTAACTATATCTGAGGGGTACAATTAAGAAGTCCAAGGTTTAAAGTAGAAGACGTGATGAATGCTGATAATATTTTATCATGATGTTAGGGTTATTTTATGCTCTGAAGTGGGTTTTACGCGTCGAACAAATGTAGAGAATGGACACAGAAAACCCAAAATACTGTGTCTGGAGAGATGCACAAAAATACAGAGAGCGTACCTACAGTAAATACCTGTGTATGTTATTTCATCCATCAGCTATGACTAATGTCCACATGATAACTCATTAATTCAAGGCTCTGAACATAGTGTTTCTGTACATTTCTGCTGTTTGTCTAACCATCAATCTTTTTGCATCTTTAAAGACTACATGGTCGAAACTCACTTGCATATGGTACATTTTCTTCTGCATCTAAAGATGAACCAGATGAGTTAGTCACAGAAACCTTGTATATGCCTGCATCTTCAGCTGTAAATGGTCCAGTTAATGCAATTTCTGCTGTTTTTCCTGCTCTACTCACTCTTCCAACATACGGTCCTTGTGGTGTAAATACTTCAGTAGACCCTGAAAATCTTGCAATGGTAATACGAGTTCCACTTGTATCAACTCTTGTCCACTGTATCAAGAAAGGTAGTGGTGCAGCTGGTGTATAGGTCCAATTCAGGTACAGCGTGTTTGTTGCTTCACTGCAGATACTAACACTCAAGGGTGGCGGAACAACCCAAGTAAATCCTGAAACAGAAAATGATAAGAGGTACATAAACAAATACATGTAGTACTGTATTGACTGGAAATTTAATCTTTCATTAGCAAGTCACATGCACGTTTTAATTTAATTAAACATGCATGTAGAGCCCACCATCTTACTTCAATTAAATTTTGACTTAATTATGATATTTTGAAGTATGCCTTTGGTATGAGGCTTTATACACTTTAACTGCTTAAAGGCCTGTTAATAAGGAGAAAATATACACATGTGCAAATTTGCATACATGAGTAAATTTACATAGGGTGTGCAGTTTGCTATGCGTTCAGAAGGACTAATAGTTCCTTTCTGCCTGAGCAATGGATGGATTAAGACGTGAGATGTCAAGAAGTCATTTCCCACATTACATCAGTGTTGGTCTGATACTGTGATGTTCCCATGACTGACATTCTAGAAGAAAGCAAAGATCATGTCATTGGTATGCTGAAGTTGTTGGTAATCATTTCACTGATGCTGAATGGTTGGAGAATGTGACGAGAAACATATGAATTGATCTGCACTTGACTGAAAGATGAGCCCTCTCCCTCTGATAATACATTTGAGGAACCATTGGATGTAAAGAAAAAGGTTGCTAGAACAAATTATTGGATGGCTTCCTCCGCAAAGTATAGAACTGTGGCCAACCTTTTTGGTGTCAGAAGGCAACCGTATGTGTCCGCGTCCATCAAGTGTGTGGAGCCATCATGAAACTTCTCCTGACTGAATACGTCAGGTTCCCCGAGGGAGACGCATTGAAGGATGTTATCAAGGGCTATGAGGAGTGTTGGGGACTTCCAAATCTATAGATGGCAGTCATATCCCTATCATAGCTCATAAACATTCAGACAGCGACTACCTGAACAGGAAGGGTTTCTATTCCGTGATCCTACAAAGGTAAGGCAGAGTACATGACACCCTTGTCTTTGTAAAATCAGGCATTTATTTCCTTGGAGATGATGGAGCTCTTTTACCCAAAAGGTTGAACAACATCGGAAATACACAAATGTCAAATATTGACTCACTCGAGCCAGGATGACAATTGAGAACGCGTTTGGTCTCTTGAAGGGACGTTGGTGGTGTTTGCAGAAGAGTATGGACATTGACGTTGTATTAGCCTGCACGGTAAGTGCATGCTCTGTTGTCCTCCACAACATTTCAGAGAGTGTCCGCGATCTCTACAGGGAGGATTGGGATGCCGAAGAAGACAAACAAGAAAATGACCACCAACTGGATGTACAGGAAGGGGGAGACGAAGGGATCACATGCATGAAAGCACTGTGTCATGAAATCGCACTGGCTTCTGCAATGATGTGTTTGTAAGACACTATTCATTTGTGGTGACATGTACTTTGAATAAACCATGTATAGTTCATACTGCTGATTTTTGTAAACATTTACACTTGTACATGCACATGCTTCAAAATTTAAATTAAAGTATTTTGTGAAGATAAAAGCATTTATTTCTTTTATGTTACCACACCAACCATAACCTGACCATAACCTCAGAGAACAATTTGACATGACGTCTTGCATTAGCCACAATATAGACTTTTGATAGCCTCAAAACCAGGATCATGACATTAGTGAATAATAAGGTATAGATTCAACAGCATCATGCTTAAGCTGGAAGGTTCAATTTCGAGAGCATTCAGTGACAGCTGTCTATTGCTTCTGTACAGTTTGGGAAATTCCACTTTTCCTTGAAACCTTGAATGGTTTAGACAGGTTTCACTGTATTATTAGGGTCTAATGTGGCAAATGTATTACATGTTATGTAAAATGCACATGGAAGCACAGTGTCTTCCTGGAATGCTGGCACTTCTTGTTTGAGGTAGGTAAAGCAGTGAAGCATGCAAATTGGAAGACAATGGGGATTATGGGGGGGATTTCCTAACCCTACGTGAGTGAAATTCAGAAAGTGAGCGAGAGCTCAAAGTCTATTCTTAGTCTTGAGTGAGCGAAGTTCAATTTTTCATGATAAAAATAGGAAAATATGAGTAAACACAACTCACACTGGGGTATATATATAAGGTCATCTTACTGTTACTCTATCTATGGCTAATGTTTAAGTTAATGTACGGTTTATTGCCAACAGAAGAGGTTGTCAAAGTTTAGTCATGGGTGGCTACAAATTCTGCATCAAAAGTAGACGACAAAATAGCATCCAGTTTGATGCTTTGGAAACATGCTCAGCTGACGAGGGATATGTGAGTATCCATAGTCATTGTTGAATCAAGCACTGGTGGTTGGAAACATTGAAGTATTGCCGATTTGAATGATAACAGAATCAGGACGTAAGTTTTTTAGTTGCTGTCTTGAACCCAGGATCAAGAACTCTGTTTTAACTTCATTGCATTTCAAGTAATTGGAACTCATCCAGCACTGTATGTTGCCATGCAGTGCTCCAATCTTTGAGTGAGGTATAAAGCTGGTTGTCATCAGCATACAGATGAAATCCCATTCAGTAATTTCTTATCATGTCTGCTATGAGCAATATGTACACAGAGAAAAGAAGGGGGCCAAGAACCAAACCCTGAGACACATCCATTTATTTTCCTGCTTATCAGAGAGTGCATCTTGAATTTTCACAGACATTGAATGATCAGAGAGATATGATTTTATCCACTTAAGTGCTGTTCCATTTCAGCATTGGCTCCTTGTCTCCTATCGTATTGTCTACTCTATGGCTTTTGTCTGTACATATGTTCCTTGACTTTTTTCTGATTTTGTAAAGTGCCTATGAGCATCTATTGATGTATACTAGGCGCTATATAAATCCATTATTATGCTTTACAGACTAAGATGAAAAATGCAGCAGAGAGGGTTTGGGGGATCCTGGCAGTCAGACTGGTAAGGTTCCTCTTCAGCTCAGGGCCCTTGCCCCCTCTACATGCAGCCCAGACAGCGAATGGGACTTCTCCCAAGAAACATGTCTAGTCAAACCCACCAAGAACTTTCCGGAGAATATGTAGACTCCAAAACACAGCAGCTATCTGCATTACCTAGAGTGTCAGAATTGCTATGCTCCTGATGGAGAACCCTGGCACTTTCCTGATAGAATAGAATAGAATAGAATAGAATATTAATGCCTTTTCAGGAATTTGTGTTACATCAGCAGAGCTACTGACACATTAGACAGATACCAAACATATTTACATAAATTCTTTGATTTAGATATCTTCACATTTGTTTAAGAGAGATATGGTGCTTGGAATAAAGGATGTACGGGCTCTCTTAGTTTTCACAATTGGAACTTTGTATCGGCAGCCTGTAGGGAGAAGGTTGTATTCCGAATTTAAGTAGTGAGTAAGGTCAGATATGATTTTGACAGCTTGATTCACGATTTGCAGCTCATATATTGATGATAAACATTCAAATCTGACTCCAGCGATTTTACTTGCAGTGTTAACAATTTTGTCTATTTTAGATTTGAGATGAACTGAGAGAGACCCGTACCAACAATGGAAGGAAAATGTTAAAATACTCTGAATAAATGCTATATAAAAAGATGACATCACAGATGGGTTAACATTAAAAGATCTCAGTTTACGCATGAGATGAAGACGTTCACACTTTTTGTATAGTGCTTCAGTGTTAGAGTTCCAGTTCAGCTTAGAGTCAATGAAGGTTCCCAGATACTTATACTCCGACACTGTCTCAACACATTCACTGTTGATTATAACTGGAAGCAGTTCTGTGGGTTTACTCCGAAAGTCAATTATCAGTTCCTTTGTTTTTGTGACATTTAACAGTAAGAGTAAGTGGTTTTCTGCACACCAAACCAAGGGTACCGAGAACAATGGGGTGTCCGACAACAGTGTTGGGATGCAAGCGAGATATTTCAAAGGCGAGGTCCGCATATTTAGAATACTGTTCCTGAATCTTGCCAATCACTTTGCTGTCAAAAAGGGACAGAAAATTCAATGATATAAATAAATTCATTAGCTTTATCAAAAATGACACGTTTGATGGCTGGAATTCTTCTGAGGCTGTATATGGGTCTATTCCAAAGATGTTTAAAAACATCATTTTCCATGACGTCCTTGACATTTTCACGGTCGTACCATGGATGGACCTCAGAGTCAAAGCCACAGGCATAGTGAAGACGATAGTAGAAGCAACGGGCCATGCCATCATGTCGTTTAAGATATTCACTGTGCCAAGGAAGGGCATCCACTGACAGGGTGTTGGACCATCTCTGTAAATTCATTACAGTCGACATTTCATGTTAATATTTTCTTTAAGAATCACATTTAGGCGAGTGGGAAGTGACTGGTCCTGGGCAGCAAAAAAGAAGCCTTCAGTTTTGCATTTAAGACCAGATGACTTCATCTAGGCGAAGGAGTCAGTTGGATAGCTATTCTGTTCCACACACTGCATGTACACATGATACAATGGCTTCTAGACAGACTTGGTGAATAACTTCACCTGGTTTACTCCCATCGCTGTGCCGTCCAGCAGTTCATAACCATCACCAAAATCAACCTCATTTTCGGATTCTGTCCAACAACCTTGTCACGCTTAAATAGCTGTGGAATTCCTTGCTTTCATCTTGACATGCATACCCAGAGGATCATCCGATAAACATGTGCAAAAATACACACTAAAATTCTATCATGAAGAGCTTCCACATATTTATATTTGACATATATAAATGATTAAGAGAGGAACAAGGGTGGTGGACTCCGTTATCAGACATGATCCTTCTGGTCAGGCAGTCAAGAATCTGGATATCTTGTTTTGTCAAACGACTAAGTACTCCAAAGGAATAGGAAAGGACTGGCACAGCAAAAGTATTTGTGGCTTTAACCTTGTTTCGAGCATTTAGCTCTGAGCTCCAATTTTCTATAAGCGAGATTTATACTTGCCCCGAAGTTTGTCTTGAATCTGGGCATTCTGGAGCTTGTCTCGAACTTTGTCTTATTATTACTATAATTACTATTAATGAATGCACCCATATCCTATCATAAAGTGCCTGTGTAAAAAC